ATTATTAAAATGAGTTTTATAATGCGGTGATGTTAGATCCTGGGTCACACGACTTTAAAATCGTGTTACACGGCATATCTGACTTTTAGGGTAAGGTAAGTCCCTTTAAATTTACTCTAATGAGGAACATTTTCCCGCAATCAATCATATCATCACTCCATACATCTTATTTTTTTACCACTTTGATTACATACTGTAGATTTTCTTTAAAAGGGACCTGCTTTTGTTTGAAAGTAGTAGCTTTTGTATACTGGGGTCATTCTTTCTAGGCGATAGCACTACCACGGTTCAAGTCTTGCCTTGGTTGCTGATGAAATCTATATGAATTCTAAAATAAAATTTATCCTTGGGAATGTATAAAATGTCGTAAGTTATTGGCATAACTAAAATTTATCTTTATTTTATAATCATTTATATCATTAAAACCATACTATAGGCAATTTATTTTATCAACAAATTTCTCATTATTATTATTATCGACTATGGGAATACCAACTATATTTTAGAAAATTGGTATGATAAAGTTGTGAGACCTTGACTATCACTAGCTTTCATTCAAGAATTGTGTATGTTTATTGGTTAATACGTGTAACATTAAGATTAAGTTACCCTCTCAGAATGGGATTCATAATAGGTTCACGCCACATTGAACTTCATTTCTGCTTTATAATCCAATTGCTTAAAGAATAATATGTCTTCTCTTTTATTATACACATGATGTTAAACGTCTAGTACTATTGTTGTCAGTGGACCTTTGAAACTAAAAATAATGTCAATCTCTGATATAAATTTGTTTTGTTTCCTCAAAATAACTTATTTGCGAACTACCTAAACAGCTACAGAAGAGATGTTGACGATTATGCAGGAGTACGGTGAGATCGTTTGCGTGATGGGCAGCTGCTTGAGCATGGGAAATATGCGTTTACTGTCTCGCGGCGATACCTGCATTGCCCTTAGACCCGTTCTATCACGTGTTTGTGGCCTTCAAAAGGAAACTGGCTCATCTTCTGCAACCATCTCCTGTATGTCCGCTACTTCATCTTCCTGTTCTTCTTTCTCTTCCTCCACTTCATCCTCAAACTCCTCTTCTTCAAATCTTGCGCCTCTCAACCAATCAGTTTCTTCGGATTCACTTAGATGGGCTGGTCGAAAAAGCGCCAGTTCTCTACGCTCCTCAATTGTCTATAATTCTCAAGCTAGAAAGCTTATTTTGGCAGAGGTAAGCAACCACCTTTAAACTAATGCGCCCTTACACAAAGATACGATTAAGAATGCTTATTAGAGTCTTCTATATTTTGATTTTTATAATTGCTTCCTTGGTTCAGCTTCAGTAGCGTAACACCTCTTTAATCCTTGTCAAAATACCATAATATTATGCGATTGGGTATTATATTATTCGGGAGAAAAATTAAGCGCAGGCTATTTTACCCAGGCTTTTATCTCTTCGGGGATCCGTCTAGCCTCAGCAGAACACTTATTACCTACTATTCCTGTATCCGTCTTAGTTATTATCCCTAAAATTCGTTTTTTGTGGCTTCATTTTCATCAGCTCGATTTATTATTTATACTTTTAAAAGTGCGAGAATTGCTGCTGATTCCATCGTATAAACATGAAGCTATCCAAATAGCCATCCACACATTATTTCTGGTCTCATTTTTTTTATTCATTCTTTAAATTGCGAAAGCCTGTCCTCAGTAACTTGTTTTCTCAGCAATTTATTATTTAACCACTCACAGAGGCTAGAAAGATTTTGGCTTGAATTTCTTTGCTTGATGCATCGTGAAGTTGTATTCTTGTCCATACTAAATGGTCGCATTTTAAGCCCACTCAGATCTCAGCATAGCTATTTTGATTTGAATAAAGGGAGTGCAATTCAATTCTAATAAGAGCGCAATTTTGAAATTCATGGCGTGATTGAGTGGTAAAATCTTTGTGTTTACCTGTTAGCGGTTAAATTGTAAACCCTACATATGTAGGGTTTACAATTAAGGCTCTATCAATTATATACACAACATTTTATTTTAGTCATAATTGGTTCTGATCTGAATTACTGCGTTTCTATCTGAATTTTCTATTGCTACCACTTTTAAGGATTACTTATTCCTTATAACTAATTAACTTTATTAATATCTGTATATCTTTAATACGAATTGTTGTTATCCTAAGTTACATAAGGCAATGAAGGATTGATAGTCGAATTTTTCAACAATATCCTCGTAGGTGATAGTTGCTGCTAATCAGATCGATGTTCGGAGAGGTTCACAAAATTTTCGTGAATTCTAGTTAAGGAAAGTTATTGTTCTAGAAGTTAGTTATTGCTATTTACTTTTGTCTTTAGTCCCTAATATCATTATGTAACTACTTTTTTTTCAAATTATTGCACATAGCCTTGCCTATCTGCCAATGAGGGTGATAATAATTCGAAGCTCCTCTTCCAAAATAGGAATATTGATTCACATCGCATTCCAGGAGCTGCCTCATCAGTGTCATTTATCAGTGACCAATTGGCCGAAAACGAGGAACTTTTGATGAGGCTGGAAGAAGAAAGCGCCGAAGTTGCAGAACGTATCTTTCTCTCGGCTAGTCGAAGATCAACTGCGAAAACAGTTGTGGGCGGACCCAATGAAGCCTCTATTCGCATGCGATTCGCTGATGGATCACATCGGCATGCACGCCATCAGTGGTGCCGTTGGAGAGTAAGGAAATTGAATGTGCGAAAATTTTGGACCATAAATTTTCCCCCTACCTCATTATCTCTTATTTTATTGGGATTTTAAACTTCCAAGTAGCCCTATAAAGTGTATATCTAGTAAATTGGATTCTAAATTATATTTATTTGGTGGAAAGTAGCTTTCGTTGGACACTGGTCGTAAGCGGCTCTCTTCTCACAAAGAGTGACATTTTTAGAAATACAATTTCTGATCTCCTGCTCTGGGATATAGTGCTGACAAACAGATTGTTAACTTCCTTAATTTGTGGTCGTTGGATGACTGTTTGAGTCTTGAAGCTGGGCGAGTACGGTCTTTCTTCCCCTGATATTCAACCCACTTG